TGTCGATTAATGGAATATTGGAGGCCTGAACCACTCGCACTCGTGTCGCCACGTTACGCAGAAAGTCCAGGTTCGAGTCCCGTTGGGCCTGTTGATGAGATCAAAACACAAATCCAGTCCAGCTGGGAGGAGAATACCTTCGGAAGGCGAGGCCAAGTAAGCTTCACTGGCATCGTGAGGCCGTCGCATGTCATCGTGCCAAAATTCCACCATAAGTTCCCGCGATGCCTAAGGAGACTTAGGCTGATCAAGTTCGTATTGGAGATGAACCGATCGCCTCTAAACCAAGCCATATCAAGTAGACGTTGGGTTGATCGTGAGCAAATTTCAACTTGCTTGAGTTTGACTCATAAGCATCGGTGAAACTATGTTATTTGGCTGATTTGATTTGATTTTGTTATTTTTTTTCATTCTTATTGCCTCTTTTCAATAAAATTAATACGGCCATGGCTATGCTCTTTCAGGGTCAAGTCAAAGAATATCGAATTCACAAATCCAAGAGGGCGTTAAACCAACTCTGCTATACTGACGGGGTATGTCCAGCATCATACTTAATGCCTTTTTAATCATTATTTGCTATGTATGCACTTTTATTATTTTTTGGCTAATGTTGCCTATTGATACACTACTTTTCACTTTAAAAGAATGGTTGGCTAGAAAGAATGCATGAATCAGCCAAACCGGTAACCGAAGTCGGCTTCCCGCGGTTCCGAGAAGTCTCAGCTAACCGCCCTGCGACTCCGATGAATCCAGTGAGCCGAGACTTCTCGGAGCCGCGGAAATCCTCCTTCGGTTTCTGGTGGGGCTAATTCACGAATCAATTCCAACCAACTTTCTCCTTTGAAATGAAACGTCTTGTCACGCGAAATCAGTAAGAAGAGTATTCGAAAGCCAGTTTTTCTCCGCATATGGAATTGACTTCGAGGACAAGGAACCCTGGAGACAAAATACCGATTGTTACTGTGGGGCTCTTTGATCTCTAAACAGGCTATATTTTATGCCTCATTCAAGGAGATGGTTTTGTACTCTCAAATACTGGTTCATGGAAGTGGAAACTGCATATGTTTCGAGGCAATCAGGAGGCAGACTGCCGTCGAGTTGGGCTTGCCCGCCTTAGTTTCCGCCCGAAGAGAATGCCTGATTTTGCCATTTTTCCCATCTGACTCCCGATGGCTCTGAGCAAAAGCTCGGAGTCTGGTAGAACCTTAGGCTTACTTTACAGAAGGCATTCCCATCCGATACGCAGTGGGCGACAGTCTCGACTTAGTCGGTGCCTCGTCAACACTCCAAAGGGAGGCCAAACCAACTTAATCGGAATAGAAAGAATGTAGGCCAGTGCAGCCGGAGACATTAGTTAACACCCAAATGGTGCTTTCGGAACTGTTCTTAAATCTCGCATATGGGCGCAAGTCATTATAGCCTGTCCACGTTATCTTGGACGACCTAAGATTTATGGGTTTCTCCTTTGCCCTACCAATCCTTCTTATTTGTTGTATTCTAATTTTGTCTACTGTAGTGGCAAACACAAGTCTGCTGTATTGACGACAGTTTCACTAAAACTCTGTTCTTGAAATTCGTGTTTGCCAAATGGCTGTGTGGCGGACTGGTGACATGCAGCCAATTGGCACATACGAGAAGGTTTCATATTGTGTTGATGTCGAAACTACAGCTAGGACCGAATTAAATGGAGGTATATATATATATATATATAGGAAAAATGATTTTCCTAGTGTTAGTTGAGTTGTTCAACAAAGAAATGTACAGGCCGTTGAATTTCATTTGACCTTGCCCCTCAAAAGTTCATGTCATCTGGGTTGTTTTTTTAAGAATTACATAATATCCCGTAAGCCACATACATATTTAATAAACAACGTCGTAATTTGCACTATCAAGGGATAATGTTCACTTAATCGGTAATCTCACGTCACATCAGATTGACCCCCGATGGGACTGCAAAGGATACCAGTTTAGGCGAGGTCAAAACAGTGTACATCTCATTGTGCAAAATACCAACATTAGGTCATTAGATAACCGGAAGAGGTCGAGATAGACTAAATTATAATTTGATAACTACTGATAATCCCGAAAATTACAAAATCTGGTGCTATTGTTGGGAATTTAACTTAATTCATTGTTAGCTGATTCTGGTATCCCCTCTGAATTATCTTAAGCCGCCTCGTTCCTTAGAGTTCCGACAACTACTAATTTAGTTATCAGTAGTATCGTCATTTTCTAATGGGAAATGCAAGTTCGCCAGAACCCTGCCCTTTCACGAGGATCATTCCTGCCTTGCAACACAGTTTAATACGCCGAGCCAGAAAAGAGTAGTAGCCTGTTGATAATGGAAGCCCCTTCCCCGATTTCGAGCCCCACCAGGAGAGTTGATGAGATGCAATTCACTGACTCATGAGGCCTTCTAATCACCGACCGGCCGGGACCTGGTATGAGGCTGACCTCCGATCCTCACGTCGACGTGAATGGGTGCCGCGGTTTCAAAGGCAAAGCAGGCCAGGCATTGAAGTTCCAGACGGACTGGCTTGTGACATGTTTTACCTCTTGCTCACTTTTCCATTCTGATCGCATCCTCTCTTTATTACCTATTCCCTCCTCTGTCTCCAACCTCAGCGACGAGAGGGAAACCTGCAACCGGACCTTGAGGACTTCGGAAACATAATCGCCGTAAGTGACATAGAATTTTTGGGAAATATTAAAACTGTGAAACTTAATTCATGCATTTTGCCAAGGTTCCCCATTCGGACAAGAAAGCATCATTTCGATGCTTTGCAAACAAATCACATGCTCATGCCATTAATATCTGTTTCAATGCTTACAATTATCCACTCTCTATTTATATTTCGAAGGTATCAGTACATCTTGATTAAGAGCATGAGTCAACTTATATCTCTTGAAGTAATCTTCCTATTCAAGACATACTGATACTTTCAGAAACTACTTATTTGGCAATTAGAAATATCATAATTGTGATGGTAAATACACGTTTGTTGAGTTTACTTCCCTTTTGAGTGAAGATGATTGGTGAAGAGATCCGAAGACCCACTCCACCAGTAGACGACGACAGATTCCCCTTGGCCAGCTGTCGACTGGCTCTACTGGAACATTCACGGTGACGCTGTTTCCGAGGTAATCTCCTTCAATTCCGGTGAAAAGGTGCTAAGCCTACGTCCGTCATATGACGAACATCATCAGAGCAAGGTAGCATCGTCACAACCAAATTGAAGGTAGCGAGTCAAAAAAACTCACCGGAAAATCCATAAAAAGCAGTATATATACAATATATCTGGCATCTTTGATCAGCTCTGCTGACGTATAAAATGATTTGGTTAGTTATGGTCATATGTCGATCTCGAAACATGAGTGTGTCTATATCTATGCGAGTTTTCTTGACTCGTTAGCTTGAATTTGGTTTTGACGATGATACCTTGCTCTGATGATGTTCGTCATATGACGCACAAAAGCTTACCACCTTTTCACCGGAATCGAAGGAGTTTGCCTCTGAAACAGCGTCAGCATGAATCTCCCAGTAAAGCCAATCTGCAGCTGGTCAAGAGGAATCCGCCGTCGTCTTCTGGTAGAACCGACCTTCGAATCGCTTCACCCAACACTTTCACTCGAAATGTAAGTAAGCTCAGCAATTATGAAACAAGACATTTATCAAACCCTACCTTTCTTTGCATATAATGTCTTGTTAAATAATTGTTGAACTTACTTCCATTTCGAGTGAAAGTGTTTGGTGAAGCGATTCGAAGGTCGGTTCCACCAGAAGGCGACCACGGATTCCTCTTGACCAGTTGT